TATAGGAGAACACAAGGGACAAGCTCCTACATACCTCATTCAGCAGTGTATCCAAATAGAAATAAGGAGATAAACAAGAATAATCAAACATTTGAGGAAGAATTCCATGGGAGATAAAGATTCAAATGGAAATATGGTAAATAGAACACTGTAATGTTTGCATAGTTATAAACATACAAACATTAAATGAGGAGATGAGAAAGCATATTGTACGTATAAAGCAGAACACTGCTATGAAAAAGTAAACCAGCAATCTTGGTAAATAAACAAACTCAGTGTGTGCCAAATAAGCAGAATGAGAAGTCATGAAATAATTGAGTGAGCAGGATGATCTAGCTAAAGCTTTCTTCCAGAATACGATAAAAAAGATCAAAGAGGTCAGAAGAAAATAAGGAAGGTTTACACAGAATAGATCTGAAATGTCCAAAGTCCATTTTACAGATATCCCAGAAATGGAGAGCAAGGAAGGTTTACACGGAATAGATCTGAAATGTCCAAAGTCCATTTTACAGATATCCCAGAAATGGAGAGCAAGGAAGGTTTACACGGAATAGATCTGAAATGTCCAAAGTCCACTTTACAGATATCCCAGAAATGGAGAGCAAGGAAGGTTTACACAGAATAGATCTGAAATGTCCAAAGTCCATTTTACAGATATCCCAGAAATGGAGAGCAAGGAAGGTTTACACGGAATAGATCTGAAATGTCCAAAGTCCATTTTACAGATATCCCAGAAATGGAGAGCAAGGAAGGTTTACACAGAATAGATCTGAAATGTCCAAAGTCCATTTTACAGATATCCCAGAAATGGAGAGCAAGGACAAAATAGGGAAAGATACATAAGAAAAATTAGTAAGAAAAAAGGAAAACTAAAGAGAGACATGTATTTTCAGATTAAAAGAGACAACCAAAGGCTATGCAAGATTAGAAACAAAAACAAAAACCATGAAATTTCTTATAGCACAGGAAGGGGGAGTGGAGAGAAGGAAAAAAAATCCCAAATAAATGATACAGAAAATTCAGTGTCAGTTAAAAAAAAAAAAAGACAGAAACCATAATAAAATATAAATTACATAGTAAGAATACAAACACATACAAATATGCTAGTAATCATAATAAATGAGAACACATCAAACCTACCCATTAAAAGGGATTCTGAAACTGGGTAAAAGAAAAATGACATTTTTCCTACTCAAAATCTACTTTAAACCATGACACAGAGATGTTAAAAGTAAGTGATTAAAGAAATGTCATGTAAATGCTAATTTAAAAACTGATAAAAGGATTATTAGAATCAAACAAAATAGTCAAAAAAGAAATCAAGCTGACAAATCATTAAATGTGAAAAGCAGTTTACTTCATTTTGATAAAATCGATCCTAAAAGGTAGGCGTCCCTTAGTCTCATTGGTCAAAACTGTATCACGTGTCCATAGTGAAACCAATCATAGTCAAGGAGAATGGAATTCCCATGAAGAGTTAGACCACTTTGGGAATGAATCCCTGGAGCTGGGGTAGCACCTGCCTTTTCTGAAACACAGTTCATGCAAAGCAGAACTGACGCTCGAAGAAAAATCAGAGCTGTAGACACGCAGGCAATCAACAGTATTTAATAAACCAGCCTGAAACGGTCATAACACACAATATTTCCTTAAGCATTAGTGTTATGGCTTGGTTCTGTGTCCCCAGCCAGATCTCATGTTGAATTGTAATGCCCAATTTTGGGGGAGGAACCTGGTGCAGGGTGATTACATTGTGGGGGCAGATGTCCCTCTTGCTGATCTCATGATAGTGAGTTCTCAGGAGATCTGGTTGTTTAAAATGTGCACCATTTCCCCCTTTGCTCTCTCCTGCTGCCCATGTGAAGATGTGCCTGCTTCCCCTTCTCCTTCCACCATGATTATAAGTTTTCTTTTCTTTTTCCTTTTTTCTTTTTTTTTTTTTTTTTGAGATGGAGTTTCGCTCTTGTTACCCAGGCTGGAGTGCAATGGCACGATCTCCGCTCACCTCAACCTCCGCCTCCTGGGTTCAGGCAATTCTCCTGCCTCAGCCTCCCAAGTAGCTGGGATTACAGGCACGCGCCACCATGCCCAGCTAATTTTTGTATTTTTAGTAGAGATGGGGTTTCACCATGTTGACCGGGATGGTCTCGATCTCTTGACCTCGTGATCCACCCGCCTCGGCCCCCCAAAGTGCTGGGATTACAGGCGTGAGCCACCATGCCCGGCTTTTTAAAAATTTGGTAGAAGCAGAATATGTAATATCTCTGAGGATAGCGAAGTCCAGGAAGGGGTTAGCTGGTTGATTTTAGAATGGTAAGAGGAGATGAGAACTTCATGTGTGCTCTATAATCTTCATGACCCACTGGCACCAACTGTGGCATATTTCTGACCATTAAAAAAAAAAGTCTCCAATGGAGAAGAATGTATTAAAGGTAAAGAAAAAAGAGGAATTAAAATAAATTTCTAGAAGAAGAAAGTGAATCGCATATAAAATATCTAGAGTTTAAACTTGAGGAGGCTTCTTTTGTCCCCAGAGCCGAGAGTAAAAATGTGAAAGTCACAGAGACACATAGAACAAAACTTACGTGCTGTCACCTAAACTTAACCTAGATTACTCAACTAAGAACTATTCCATACAGGTAGCCAATAAATATTTGTTGAATAAATGGAATAAACAAACACATAACTGGATGCAATGATAGAAATGTGTTGTGTTTTGTATCTTTTTACCATAAACATGATCCTCCAGTTTTCTTAAGGTAAATCTAAGTGATAAGGAATGAAAGGTTCTACAAATAAAGAAATGCCTTCAGTGGACATTTGCCAACAATAATACAGCAGCCAAAAAGAGAGAGAAGTAAAAATAAGGTAGAATGGATGGATAAGTATCCTCGTGCAGTCTACAGTTACCGAAATCCCTAAGGATGGAACTATTTATATATTAAAGCTATTCATTTTCTTGAAAGCTACAATAAGTAAAAGGAAGTAGTTTATGTAAAAAGATACATAATAGGCCGGGCGCGGTGGCTCACGAGGTCAAAAGATCGAGACCATCCTGGTCAACATGGTGAAACCCCGTCTCTACTAAAAATTACAAAAAAAAATTAGCTGGGCACGGTGGCGCGTGCCTGTAGTCCCGGCTGCTCAGGAGGCTGAGGCAGGAGAATTGCCTGAACCCAGGAGGCGGAGGCTGCGGTGAGCCGAGATTGCCCCATTGCACTCCAGCCTGGGTAACAAGAGCGAAACTCCATCTCAAAAAAAAAACAAAGTTACATAATAAAACTATGTTCAATCAATAACAGAAAATATGTATATATCAATATTTATCTATGTCTAGAATAAAAACAAGATTAAGAAATAAAAACTTTAATTTTCACTATTTAAAATAATTGCTCAACCTGAAAATTAAATCCTAGATCTAGTATTCTAATCTGCTAAGCATTCACTTGTCAAAAGTTCTACTTTTAATAGTTTTACGTTTCAAATACGTATACCAAACTTTTAAAAACACTTTAAAGTCCACTCGAAGTTATTTAAAAATAAATCATATCTACAACTGACTTGGCAGCATTCACTGCGGTATGCTAAGTACTTCACAGTTTTATGTTAAGTTAAAGGCTCACAGAAACAGATGAACAGCTTTATGTCATTTGGCAGATATCATTAAAATGCATGAATATGTACCAGGTTTAGCTCCTCCTTGTTAACTACAATCTTACCGTAACATTGCTATTTAAGTGTAGATGTCAAGACTAGAACTCTGTCAAAACAAAAAGATTCTTATTGAAAAAAAACACTAAGGGATAAAAATGTTTCACGGTTCATCTTTGCCAACACAGGAACTAAATAAGTAAATTTACAACTCACATAATTCTTTTAAGGATTTAATGACTACCTATGGTGCACAAAGCAGCCTGCTGACACATTTATACGATACGCCAGGTGAAACTGTGGATGAGAAAGGGGTCCCACACTGCTGGGAAGAAGGCAGCACTCAAAAAGGTCAAATTATAGCAACAGCAATTAGTACAAACAGTCTACTTTTCAATGGAATTTTTACACACAATTGCTGTAATAAATTACCTTGTTGGGGAAAGACAAAAAAAAAAATTAAACCAAATCAAGGAAATCAAAATGGGAGTTAGAATTCTAGTTAATTATATAATGGAAGACATAGATTTGATAAATGTTCTATAAGAAACAGTGACAGGATTTGTCAGCCACTAGTATGGCAAGAGGAAAAGTTGGAATATAAGAATGATGGGAAAGATAAATTATTTAGCTAGTTGGAGTCCCACCCCACTCCTTCTTTTGTTTGTTTAAAGGATCTGAAATCAAGTGGCACTTCGGAGTTAACTATGGGTCTTTCTCATCATTCTCATCTCGTGCTGAGGAGCTTCTGACCATCAAGTATCCCATTGGCTATTTTCAGTTACCGTACCAGAAATTTCACATTGTAATGAAGATTATTCTTTAAGCACTTTCCTTAGAATATGCTGAATTCATTTCACTGATTTCCATTGCTCCAAATTGATGGAATGCCTCACATGTTTGTATACCTGTGTAGCGTAACTTTGTTTTACTGTATGTGGATAACTATTTTTAGTGAATGTTTATGCCACTTCCATAACTTTGGATCCCACTTTCTTATGCATCATCGCATTCTCTGGACACCATCTCTAATTTCATATATCTTTGGTTTAAAAATAGCGGTGATGGTGATGGTGTTTTGTTTTGCAGATGACAAGTTCACCAGGGCTCTATCATCTTCTTTGCGACCTACTGTAGCCTCCATGAGGCTAGGTACCATGAAAGTTTTGACCAGAAGGAGCCGTGATCCTACTCTTAAAACACATCCAGAAATGCACCTTTTATTTTCAATGCTTGTATTCTTGTTTTCTGGATTTTCACGTATCTAAGTATTTGTGTTCATAAATTCTTAAAACTATCTAGTACCTCAAGTAAACGATTAGCAATAACTAGCGGGGGCTTGTAAGTACCTTTTGACGTTGTTCATCCTTCATCCTTTGTAACTTTCTGTTTTCTTCCACCCTTAAAGAATCTCTGTAAGCCCAGCTTCTGTCCTGTAAAGAAACAGAAAGAAAAAAAAAAAAAAAACCAAAAACTTGATAGGATAAAGTATCACCCCAGTACACCATGCTGCCTACCATAGCCCTGGAGCTAATGACTTAACCTCTGTACCGAGCCTATAGTAAGCTCTCCACACACACTTGGTTACTGAGTGATTTATGCATATATCCAAAGATGTCCCTTGGGATATATAAAAAGAAAACTAGTATAAGGACAATGACCCTGCACATTTGAAAGGATAATCTAAATGTTTGATTAAGCTTTAAAAATACCCCTCGGGGAGCATCACACACTGCGGTCAGCTGGGGGGGCAGCTAGGGGAGGGACAGCGGGCAGTGGGGAGGGATAACGCGGGGAGAAATACCAGATATAGGTGATGGGGGGATGAAGGTGGTAAAGCACCTTGCCATGTATGTACCTATGCAACCTGCATGATCTGCACATGGACCCCAGAACCTGAAGTGCAATTTAAAAGAAATCCCCTCGGAGACAATCAACAGTTTATTCCTTCTAGTGCGAAGTTTAGGACATTTTCAAGAATATTTCAACTAGCTGATCAGTCCGTACTAAAGACAAGCAATGGTGGCACCGTCTGTAGAAGCGCTGGCATGTCTAGCCCATTAACGATACCTGATTAAGCAGCCTGTCAATAGTGGTTGATGCCATATAATTTCAAGGATGCACACTTTCTAAGTGCTTGCATCGCTAATCTGTATGAAGCTTATTTCTATTTCTGAAAAGGAATGCAAAGCCCGTTCAGGAACACATGACAACAAAGACTGGAGAACCACCACGTGGGAGAATGCCCTTCAGTCTCTCTGACCCACCGTACCAGAGTTCCACACCCTGGCAGAGTGACCATGTGTTCTGACATTTATGGCATTTCAAGCGCTCTGTTTGTCTGTCTTATGCTTTCTCTCCTTCACATTGATTTGCAGCCCCAGCTTCTGTAAGGCAAAGAGCTAATACTTAGGAGATTACAGCACCATCATGGCAGCAGGTTACATATTTCAGACCTAGTTCTCAGGACTAATAATCCGTAAAGTCCATATAAGCTGGTTCCCCCTTTTTCCAACATGGATGCACCAGCTGCTAGGGAAGAGAGATGGGTAACAGGCAGGAAAAAAGAAAGGAATTACTAGGAAGTTTCATAGCGTGTCCTGACACAGGGCTTGCACAGAGGAGGCTTAAAGACTGTTAATTGAATGAGTACATTATTAGCATAGCTTTGGGGGAGGATAAATAAAAGTGTATTTTAGTTGAGTGACAAATGAAGCCCTTCACCCCCATATACCTGCTCCTGCCTTGAAAATGCAGGTGCTAATTCACCCAACACAAACAGGAAATGAAACGTGTACTTTTTAGGTAAACTAAACTGGGCACACATGTAAAGACAGTAGCAGTGGGCAAATGCCAGGCTGAGAATGAAATGACTTTATAAAGTCCTGCACACTGACCAGCAGGCCTTTGAGGCCCTCTCTTTGAATTTCTTCTGCTTCCTGTACTGTTTCTTCTGAGAACTATAAAGTGACATATATTTTAAAAGTAACAAAGAAGGAAAAAAGAGTTTGGAGAATTTTTAAAAAAATCTCCCCACCTTCCCTTCCCCCAAAAAAACCCAAATCAGTAAAATATTTAGAAGATAAAGTCAAGAAAATAGGCCAAAACATAGAAAAAAAGTAGTCACAGATAAATTACAGGAGAAAATCTCTAAAGGTAGAAGATAAATCCATGAGGTCTACAATTTGAATAATAGAAATTCCATAAAGAGAAAATGAAGGGAAATAAATCAAAGAAATAACACAAGAAAATCATCTAGAACTAGAGATGAATTTCCGGATTGAAAATGAATTCAAAAAAGACTTTCACACTAAATCACATCATTAGAGAATACCAGAAAAAGTAGAGATGATATTACAGTATTTTCAGAGGAAGCAGAGAAAAGCTCTCATATAAGGCCTGAAATTCACATGGCCTTGGATTTCTCAGGAACTAGTATTCAAAGTTAGAAGAGCAATGCCTCAAAATTCTGAAGGAAAATTATCTCCGGTTTGGAAGAGTCATCAGTAAAAACGCAACCAAAGTATGAGAGCAGAATACAGAGTTTCAGACATGAAAGGACCTGAACATACTTACCTTCCATGTGCCTTCTCTTGGGAAGCTACTAAGTAATACGCTTCACCAAAACAAAGAAATAAAGCAAGAAAATGAAAGAAATGAGACCCAGAAATCAGAGAACCCAACACAGAAAAGCAATAAAAGCAATTCCCAAGATGACGTTAAAACAGTGATCGTCAACCTGGGCTGAACATTAGAATCTCCTGGGGAGCTTTTTAAAACCCTGAAGCCACATATACACCATGGAATATTATGCAGCAATCAGAAATGATGAGTTCGTGTCGTTTGTAGGGACATGGATGAATCTGGAAAACATCATCCTCAGCAAACTGACACAAGAACAGAAAATGAAACACCGCATATTCTCACTCATAGGTGGGTGATGAAAAATGAGAACACATGGACACAGAAAGGGGAGTACTAAACACTGGGGTCTATTGGGGGGAAAAGGGGAGGGCCAGTGGGAGGGGGAGGTGGGGAGGGATAGCCTGGGGAGAAATGCCAAATGTGGGTGAAGGGGAGAAGAAAAGCAAAGCACACTGCCATGTGTGTACCTACGCAACTGTCTTGCATGCTCTGCTCATGTACCCCAAAACCTATAATCCAATAAAAAATTAAAAAAAAAAAAAAAAAAAAAAAAACCCTGAAGCCCAGGCCACAATACAGCAGGCTCGCTGGGGGCGCCACCCAGGAGTCCGTGATTTTTAAAGCTCCTGGGTGAACTAGTGCGCAGAGGAGGCTGAGAACCATTGGGTTGAAGGGGAATCCCAGAACGACAGCTGTGCAGCAGCTACAAATACCCAGGACAGGTACAGCAGGAGGAAAGAGGGACCCTGGAGGAAGAAATAATTAAAAACAAAACTGACAAGTTATCTGACAGGCATAAAATAGAAAATGGTTTAGAAATTTGCATCAAGCCAGGCGCAGTGGCTCACGCCTATAATCCCAGCACTTTGGGGGGCCGAGGCGGGTGGATCACGCGGTCAAGAGATCGAGACCATCCTGGTCAACATGGTGAAACCCCGTCTCTACTAAAAATACAAAAAATTAGCTGGGCATGGTGACGCGTGCCTGTAATCCCAGCTACTCAGGAGGCTGAGGCAGGAGAATTGCCTGAACCCAGGAGGCGGAGGTTGCGGTGAGCCGAGATCGCGCCATTGCACTCCAGCCTGGGTAACAAGAGCGAAACTCTGTCTCAAAAAAAAAAAAAGAAAAAAGAAAAGAAATTTGCATCAAGAGGCATTTTGTAGAACAGTCACAAAAGCTGTCGGAAGACAGTCAAACGTTCAAAGGAAACTAAGGAAATGCTAAAATATGTTTAAGAAGATGTACAGGAAGATGTAATCAGAATACACCAACTGGCTTGGCAGTGAAGAAATATTTATATAGTCATAATAGGGAAAGCCCAAATTACTGAATAATTATAAGAATGAGAGGAAGAAATGAGTTAATAAGGTCTAAAACTGATTTGTCAAGAGAGAGTAACACGTACTGACAGATATTCAGAGCTAAGAAAAGAAACAGGCGGTGGGGTCCCCAACCCTTAATGACCCCCTAAAGATGTCCTAAGCCCTGGAATCTGAATGTTGCTTTATTTGGCAAACGGACTTTGTAGATTAAGGATATTGAAGTGGAAAGATTAGCCTGGATGGTCCAGGTGGACCCACTGTAATCAAAAAGGTCATTATAAGATGAAGGCAAGAAGGCCAGAGACGGTGCAGAAGGTGGGGAGAGATGGAAGCTAAATTGGACCAATGCGGCCATGTGCCAAGGGTTTGGGGGAACAGGGGACAGATGCCCCCTGGAACATTGAGAAGGAAACATTTCTGTTGATACCCTGATTTTAGCATTTTAAAACTCATTTTTTAGTTCTGACCTCCAGAAATGTAAGAGAATACGTTTTTGTTGGATTAGGACACTACATTGCTGGTAATTTGTTACAGCGGCAAGGTGGAAGTGGGATTCAAGGGACACATGTTCATTGAATGAAGGTTTTATTCTTAATGAATGAGCATGTGACACGTAGATAAAAATTACTATAACCAACCTGAGTGCTCACAGTAGTGTGAGAGAGGATGGCTAGAGAAGCATGAGCTATAGAGCTTGGCCCCTCAGACGTTAACACACACACACATTTCCCATGGATTGTATTAAATGCAGGCTCTGATTCAGGAGGTCCACAGTGTAGCCTGAGATTGGTCTGCATCTAAACCTTTGCTCCTACTTTCAAAAGCTTTGCTTCCCCTCACCCCTGTGCAGAAGAAAAGATTTACCCTCGGGGGCAGTCCTCCAGACCCTAGAGGACCAGAGAGGGGCAGTTCTAAAGAAAGAGACAGAACCTAAAACCGAGGGAAAGAGGAAGGGGCAGAGAGAGGAAAAGGCTTTGTGCCTAAGCTAAGACATTTTGATTTTACCCTTAAAAACATGCGGGACCACTGAATGATCTGAGGCAGTGAAACACCAGGATGACGTTTTTTATGTTATTCTTTGTTAAGGAAGTTGGGGCATAAGGCTGGGTGCAGGGGCTCACTCCTGTAATCCTAGCACTTTGGGAGGCCGAGGTGGGTGGATCATTTCAGCCCAGGAGTTTGAGACCACCCTGGGCAATGTGGAAAAACCCTGTCTCTACAAAACTACAAAAGTTAGCTGGGCATAGGAGTACATGCCTGTGGTCCCAGCTACTCAGGAGGCTGAGGTGGCGGGGTAGCTTGAGCCTGGGAGGTGGAGGTTGCAGTGAGCCGAGATCACACTACTGCACACAAGCCTGGGTGACAGAGTGAAACCCTGTCCAATTAAAAAAAGAGTGAGGGCAGCAAAACAGAGACCAGAAGTGATTTCTTATTTAACTAGAATATGCAGTGAAGATCACTGAGGAAGGTATAATGATGCTGGAACTTCTGCCTATGCACACAATACAAAGAACTCAATTAATCCACATGCAAAAGCGAACCTGGAAATATCTCTTGTCTGAAGTCCTAAGCCAAAGGATTTTCTTGTAATCTTTTACATCGACATAATTTTCTAGTATTTACTAAATCCCCATCTGCCAATGGCAGATCCACCTTTAAAGGAGAAAAGTACAAGAGAAAAAGTCTTCTCAGAAAAGTTACATTAGGTAGTAAAATTAAAGTATTAAAGAAAAACAAATATAAACTCTTCCAGCTCATCACACCCCACATAGATAGGAATCACATAGTGTTCACATTCTATACGTTGACCATAGCTAAAATAAACTGCAGGTGTCCTCTTTTTACAAAGAAACATTATTCACAGAAGTGCAATGTACATATTTGATTTTCCTAAAGCATTAGAAATTGTTCTGCAAAGCATCCTCAGAAGAATTCTATGCATACAGATTAGAAAGAACGAGAAGAGTATAATATGCGTAAAAAGGCAGTTAAATATATCGAACACTGAAAACTTATTAATAGTCCGGGGTCAAAATGGGAGCAGCTATTGTGCGCAGTTTATAAGGAACCATCCTGGGTCCAATCCTGCTCCATATTTTCTATTGATACCTCTGAGGGTCCTGTGACTAATGCACTAATCAATCCACAGAAAATGCAGCTCTGGGAGACATTGCTAAGGCTTTGGACGACGATATTAAAATTCAGGATGATCTTGTTAAACTGAAGAAATGAGCCAAAATCAATGGAGCAGCACGCACAGTTCTGCAGGCGTTACACATCAAGGATTCAGGGGGCCTCAAACAGAAAGGAAGACCAGCCCGCCAGGCGAAAACCCAGTGGTTAAAGCTCTCCAACTCCTGTTCTCCCTCTCCCTCCCTGACAGCCACAGGGATATCCAGACAGGTGTTCAGGGCTGTCATCTACACATGATATAACTCCACTACCTACAGCTTCTCCCTCTTTCCCCCAGAGCCCTGCAGTGAAGGAAGAGATGATGGATTAACGTTAATAGAACATGTGGGGCCCACACTGCTGAATCTACACTTTAGAACATCACAGTGGAAGCAGCAGAAAACCATGGGAAACAACTGCAGGTTTATAAGAGGAGTATAACGACCTTTTCCTAAGGAATGTCATAATATCTTCCTGACATTTAAAAACACGATCTCTACTGAGAAAGGGGTAAGAGGAGATGAAGGCGGGGGTTCTTTAACAACTTAGGTAGCTGCCCAAACCCTGAGAAACCTGAGACTTCCAGAAACGTAAAGTCACCTTTTCTTTCAGCTACAATCCTTTCCCAGAATTACCCTTAATTACACCTACTTTCTTGTCCCCAATTAACCAGTCAGCAACCAAGCCCTGCTGCTTTCACCTTCCGGGCAGTTTTCCGACCTGCACTTTCTTCTCCATCCTCTCCCTGCTGTGCCAGCTGACGTCTTCATCATTCTTCACCCAGACGGGTACAGAAGCCTCAGGGGCCTCTCTGCCTCTCTGTTCCTTTAGGTCCCTCCTTCGCAATGTTACCAACGTGATCCAGAATGAAAACCCAAATCTAACCCTAACCCTTCCCTGTTTGAAAATGTTCAATGCTTTCAGTACTCACAGGATGAGGTTCAGCTTTTCCAATGCGGCATACAGATTTCTGCAGTGGTTTTCTTCCCAGAGCACCACCGGCACGCAGTAGGTGGGGCATGTCTACACGTCCCACTAGTAAGCACCATGTGGGGCATTTCTAGATGTCTCAGTGTCTGAATGGTGCCACTAGCACTTCCTGCCCAGGGCTAGGGATACTAAGCATCCTGCAGTACTCAAGACAACTCACACAATGAATTCCCACCTGAATTTCCAGACACAACACCACTGAGAAATGGTCTTCATGGTTCCCGCTCACTTCTAGAGCCTTCCAGCTCACTTTTCTGCACTGCAGCTACGTAACTCTTCTTCCACAACACAAGCCGTGCTAACTTCTTGCCTGTATACCTTAATTCTTGCTCTCTGGGTCTTTATTAATTCTGTTACCTGGAAGGACTCATTGCTTTACTGATTCATAGTCTGAGTTTCTGCTCAGGTGTCATTTCCCAGGAAGCATCTAACACACATGGTCTGACTCAGCTGCTTCTTCTTGATAAGGCAGTAGTGCTTTCTTACCATGATATGCTCTACCCTCAGCAGTTTGCTTTAAAACCACTGGGGTTCTCCTTTACTAAGTTTCACTGGGTAGAAACTGCAGGCACTCAGTAGACCTTACATAGACCTATGAATTTGAAGAATGGATGGATGGACGGTGGATGGAAGGACGGATGATGGATGATGGATGATGGATGATGGATGGGTGGGTGGGTGGGTGGGTAAATGGATGATTGGGTGAGAGCAAGGACTTTTCTGAGGCTGTTTTAGGCCAGATTCCCATAAAATAATACAAGCATTATTTTATAGCTCAGGCAACACTGAGGTCAAAATTTCAGATCAGGTCATCTCTCCTCAGTTCCGGCATTCTAGGATACACAAGTCACTCTGTACCCCGAATCTCCAGTCACTAAATACCTCTTTGAAGGTGCCAGGTAGCACCCTGCATAGCATTGCACTTACCCATGTTGAGGACTGGGGGCCACAAACAGCGCTTTGACAGGCACTTCTGCCTGGAGATTCTGTGTTCAGTTTGCTCAAGAACTCAGCAGTTTTGCTACCAGGAACACAAACGAGTATTAGTGCCTTCACAAAAACATGAATATAATTATGTATTGTTCCTTTGGATACAAACCTAGACTTACTTGGCTGATGACTGAAACCGTCCTAGGTAGAACAAGAGGTCAGGCTGAGAACAAGGTTCTCAAAATGCTACTGCAAGACGGCATGCTTCAAAGACCGTATTTCAAAAACATGAACTAGGTTTGTGAAATGGGAACCTACGACTTCATGCTTTCCGCTCGGTGTTACTGACATAAATTCAAATGCTCTCTCGGAGCACATTCCACAGCATGAGGCCCTAGTTTCCTATCTGAACATTTCGTGTTGAACACTCAGGCTTCAGGGCAGGGCTGTGGAACGTCAGCAGCCTCCAACATTCTGCCTCACACCAGTCTTGCAGGAAGCCCTTTACCCTCTGGGGGCCTTTCTCCCAGTCATCTCATCTCCCTCACGGCTCTGACTGCTGTCAGGATACACAGACCCTCTAATCCAGTCACTCTTCCATTTATGGATCACAGAGCCCTTTGGGACTCTGAAAGCAAAAGTGGACCATCTGTCAAGAGAGACACACACGCACACGCGCGCAGACGCACACACACAGGCACACACACGCACACACGCGCAGATGCACACACGTACAGACGCACACACACGCACACACGCGCGCAGACGCACACACGCACACACGTGCACACACACGCGCAGACCCACACACACACGCAGACACACACGCACACGCGCAGACGCGCACACACACGCACGCACACACACGCACACACACGCACACGGCACACGCACACACACGCAGACGCACACGCACACACGCACAGACGCACACACACGCACACAAACACACACACACACTCCTTTGCATTTTATTTCAGAGCGGTGCTAAACCCTCCACGGAGGTTAAAAAGCGCTGCTGATTCTGGACTGCATTTCTAACATCTCTTTTTAGATCTGAAAAAAAATTGACCTAAAAATGTCCTCAGTTTAAATAAGAAATTCTCTGTCTTTATCTTAAAAATCCAAACCACCACCCCAATTTCTCCTCTCACTTATGCCAAGCATAGAACACTGAAATTGTTTCCCAGTCCTTACCTCAGTGCCTGGCCTGTTCTCCCTGCCTGTGATTAATTCCCACCCCTTTGTCCTTTTCTCATGTAATTTGCGGGATTTTTACCTCTTCATTGCATGTTCACAGCCACATACCTCATTGAGCACTGACTCACATGGCGCCGGACTCATGCAGCCTGCTCCCACCTCCCTTCCTCCTCCCGCTAACCCTCTGCTCCGCCAACTGTCTGAAGCCCAATGCCAAGATCGGATTCATCAAGTACTTAGGACGTGGGCATCAAAGGAAACACAAGGTTTTTGGTAAAAACAAATGGTGGCTGGGCGCGGTGGCTCACACCTGTAATCCCAGCACTTTGGGAGGCCGAGGCGGGTGGATCACGAGGTCAAGAGATCGAGACCATCCTGGTCAACATGGTGAAACCCCGTCTCTATTAAAAATACAAAAAATTAGCTGGGCACAGTGGCGCATGCCTATAATCCCAGCTAATCGGAAGGCTGAGGCAGGAGAATTGCCTGAACCCAGGAGGCGGAGGTTGTGGTGAGCCGAGATCACGCCATTGCACTCCAGCCTGCGTAACAAGAGCAAAAGTCCGTCTCAAAAAAGAAAAAAAGAACAAATGGTATCCAGTGTGGGGGGAAACAAGGAATTAAAAATTAAACAGGGGCCAACATCACTTCTAATAATTACTTAGGTAGAACATGGCATTTGAAAAAAAGGTCAGAAGCTTGATCTGGGGAAGGAAGAAACAAAAGTGAAGCCACATCCATAACCCTGAGAAACATTGCACCGTTGAGACGAGCAGCCTTTCCATCTGTCTTGGGTTACTTATCTTGCCCAGGATAGACAAGGAGACTAATGAAGTCACAGAGTCTGGAAGCTGCCCCACTGTCTGGGGCTTTACAAAGTCATCAGTCAAGAGTATAAAAAGAAGAGAGAATGCCAGAAGTTTGGGTGAGATCTCCGAATATCCTAAACTGAGTGCAGCCTGTAGCGGAAAGCAGCGAAAAAGCAGCACTGTGATAAGCAAAGAAGAAACTTCAGCCCACGTTGACAGGCAGCCCCTCAGTTTACTGACAGCGTCGTCTCACCTGCCAGTGCCAAGCACAAAGCTGTCCGCATAGCCATGGCCCTTGTGCCAACGATCACTGCCCCCCTCATGCTGCAGGACATAAAGCAGAGCGACAGTCACAGGACTGCCAGAGGAATACAGGTAGGGGTGGTCCACTACACAAAGGAAGTCCCACGTTACTACACTAGCTGGTATTTTTCTACTATTAGCATTAGTCCCTGGGATATAATAAAATTTCCATATATTGACTGAAGGGAAGTGGGATCACTGAAGGTAACTGTGGTTTATATTTAACAAAAATAAGATAGAGAACCTGTGTGAGGGGCAAACAAAGGAAAACGTCCTTGTGGGAAGTCCAACTGGACTAAGAACCCTGGACTCTAGCACGAGGATCCCCTTGCCCTCGGGGTTTCGTGGTATTCTCACCATTGTGGCTCTACTGCTTGTGGGAGAGGGGTGGTTTTCTTCTTTTTGTCACTCTGATCCAAGCGTAAAGGATTTCTTCCTCTGTTCTCCATAGAACAAGATAAAATGTACTTACGTCCAACTCAGGATGTTTAAGGGTCCTTCCTGCTCATTTTTACATTGATTTCTATGGCATATCCTGAAAGGTCTCTTCGGGAAAACCTTGCCTCAACAGAATACAGTTGTAGCAGAGACTGCTAAATGGTCATGAAAAATTTACACGCTCCTCTTCTGGCCACACAATTTGACTACATTTCCTAGCCTCCCTTGCAGCTAAGGTGGGCTCTATGATTGAGTCTTGACCAAGGGAATGTGAGAGGTGAGGAATACCAAGTCCGGTACTAACTTACTAGAAAATTCCCACACATGTGCCTCCACACATTGTTCTCCTGGCTGGAATAGACAGCCCTCCGGCAATGTTGGAAGTTGTGCATTGAAGGGGGTAGCGTCTCTTATCAGTTTTGGTTCCTAAATACCTGGGTGGAGGAGGCTGCCTTTCAAATTATGATACAATCATATTTTAAGAAGCAGTCTATGCTTTTGTGAATTCACTTATATGTAGTAAAATTACAAACCCTTGCCAGGTAAGAAGAAGAGCAGCTCCTGGAATCCGGGAATTGACTTGAGGCTCCCATCTAAAGCTCAGTGTTATTACACACTGATCTGTCCGACACTGAAGTTAAGCCTTGTTCCACTGTCAGATGTAGATAGTCGCACAGAATACCCGCTTCACACAGGTCATCATTGCAATCCACAAATTAACGAACATCATCTCCTCTAAGTGAATGACTGCCAACTTCTTTACTAATTACAGCTTCACAGTCGCTCGGTCCTTCCCACAGGTAAGATTTATTGAGACACCCAATCATAAAATTGTCCCCACATCCTGATGGCTCCCAATCCAGAGCAACTCCCTGCTTGCACAGGCCCTCCCCAGGATTACCCGACCAAAACACAAACCATGTAGTAGGGCCTTTCTAACAACTTCTCGCTTCGTTCTACCTAACACTTCGTCCTAGGAGTAACAGAGGCTTAGGTTGAGAGCAGGGTGTGGCAGAAATGAAAACAACATGCTACTGCAAGACTGCATTCTTCAAGAACAATACTGGAGAATACTCATGAAAACGGAGACAACTCACCATTCCCCATGGTATGTATTTTCCTTTGCTGCAATGAGTAATAAACCCAACTTGTCCAACTACAGGTATGTTCCTGGTAGTTTTTGGCTAAAGCACACTGACAAAGGTAACATACCAGGACAGTGGTCACAGCTAAGGAAAGACAGAGGAGGACGGGATGAGGGTGAAGGGATAACTAGCTGTCTCTGTAATATTTATTTTTTTCATTAACCAAATATAAGTAAAATCTTAATGTGACCTTAGTGGTTGATACATATTTTTTGTGTGCTTGAAATGTTTCTCAAATAAAAAGGAAAAAAAAAAACCCACAGACTATGGTGGTGTTCACTAGGGAAAGACTTGGCAGATACCATTCCTGATTTCATAGAACAACACTTTCGAGAACGCCAGTGGGAAGAGCAGCATGGGGCTGGCGACATGAGAATCATCTGTGGTACTGCCGAGAGAGTACTGGACTCAAGCCTTTGACTCTAATTCAGCATGTCTGGAGTGGGATCTGGGAATCTGCGTTTCTTAAAAGCACCCCTGGTGATGTTAAGAACTACTGCAGTCGTACAGATGGATATTCAATATGCATAATTATCTTAGGTCTACATGACTCTGACTTATGAATAATTCATGTTATATAACACATTTGGAAATAAACCTCAGTGTGTCTTAGGAACTGTCTGTATAAGTACAGTCTAATAATGCATTCTATGTGTACTTTGCAATAGCGTCACCGACCTGAACTTTGCCACCATGCGGTTTAAGTGAGTAATCATTCATACACGCATGCACGCATTCATGCAGGCGATACATATTTCCTGAGTCCCTGCCATGTGCTTAGCAATACGGGCTGCAGGACAACCTAAAGAAGTATTCTTTTGCTCGAGTCCGTTTCGCATAACTGGGTATGAGTAAATGACATTCACATGCCTTTAGGCATTCACAGAGCCTATGCAAGTAAGAGAGTGAGAGAAAATCTACCGGAACACACAAAACCCATTGAAGAGATCACAACAAAACATGAAAGTGAGTAGTAATGCTGGGAGGACTTCCTACTTTATCAAAGTAATCACACTACTGCATATACCTTAAGGACTTCTTTCCCCTCATTCATCTGGTCTTTAATGATTTAATTTTTTTTTTGAGACGGAGTTTTGCTCTTGTTACCCAGGCTGGAGTGCAATGGCGCGATCTCAGCTCATGGCAACCTCCGCCTCCTGGGTTCAGGCAGTTCTCCTGCCTCAGCCTCCTGAGTA